AGAATCATCATTCCCCAGGCAAAGGGTCTCCTTATCTTAAAAGCACCAGAGAAACGAGTAGTTTCTGACTGACCCATGGCCTCAGCCTCCTAGTTGCTCCAAGCACTTCTGGGTTCCTTCAGAGTTTCTAAACTAAAGAACTCCATGTGGGAGGTCAAATGCCCCCAAGGTTGAAGAGTTTATGCACAAATTCCTAAGAAATGGGAGAAAGGCACTGGGAAGGAGGTAGGGAAAAGGAGGCAGGTTTTGGAAAGGGGGGGTGGCCAGGGGAGGGCCAAACCCCTAGTGTAACTAGCCTGCCCCTCGGCAATCAGTAAATATAAGCTGCACTGGGTGCTGAAGAAGCTACCAATCTCAGCTCCCCGGGCCACTGGAAAGCAACGTTTCCCAGATAGGCTGTCACCAGTTAGGGAGGAAGGGAAACAGCTTCCAATACCCAAGGCACTGAAGAGCTGGCAGAGCCTCAAAGGGAGCCTCACCACGGTCAACCCAGGGGCCACCCACCAATCAGGTACAAATATTGATTATGTACTGTGAGCTTGAGTAGGTATTGAGTATGCGCTGTGAGCTTGATGCTCTGGGAGGGCTCTGTTGGGGGATGTGGGACTGGCGGACATTACACTTGGCACTTAACGCGCAATGAGAAGAATTACATGAAACCATAAACCACACAATATAAATTGGGTAAAATTGTGTGGCGCAGATTTTAAAAATACTATACTAGAAATTTGGCTGCGAAAGTCAGGCAGCCGCTTTACGAAAGAGGTCGAACTGAAGCTTGGTCTTGACGGAACTAGTAGAACTTAGAGAAGGGAGATCCTCCTCGGAAAAGAGGGGAAGGGAAGAAGGCACCTCACGTTTTTGAGGCGCAGCAAGAAGCCCGAACCTGAACTGAATGTAGTTGAGGGTGTGTGTTGTGGATTAGAAGAAATAAGGTTGGGATTCAGGGAGGGGGGGGGGGGGGGGGGAAGGAATCTTTAAATTCTGCAGAGAGCTGGGTGGCCCAAATGCTCTGTGGGGAATGGAGCACCTGCTGTGCTGAGATTCCAGCCCTTCAGCCTATTCTGAGAACCGGCTCTGGGCAGTGCGGGTCCATCCTGGGCTGGTGCTGTACCACTATCCCGTAAACTCCACCCAAACCTGCCCTCAAGGAAAGAGGTGGAATGCTATTTCCCACTTGAACCTAGTTCTTGCCAGGTGAGGGGTACATCTCCACGATGCCCACCAGCCCCAGGTACCCCTGCAAAACACACACCGAGCCCTGGGGGAGCACAGTGCCAGGAACTTTTCCAGGGTGGGCACCCCTGTGCCCTCTGCAGTGGGCTATTACACATTATCTCCTACCGCCTGTGCAGAGAAGTCTGGAGCAGAGGCTGTGCAGCTTGTCTCGGAGCGGGAAATGTGTGTGGTCTCCCCTCACACCCCACCCCCATCCCTACTTCTACCAGTTTTCCCTCCTGGATTCAACTTTCTTTGAGTCTCCAGGAATGCCCCTGCTGTGTCCCAGCATCTTTTTACCTTTTATCTTTTTCTCTCTTTTTTTGGAAATCATTTCAAGTTTTTCTTAAACTTTAATGACCTGGGAAGTGAATCCCCGAAATGAACCCCGCTGCTGTGGTGGCACCAAATCCTAACCCCTAGATTAACGGGGACCAGCATCCTCTTAGACTAGACTGCTGGCTGCTGACCTCCCCTACACACACCTCATGCCCCTTTCCTCCCGTCTCTGTCCCCTCCAGAACTCGATCCGCCACAACCTGTCCCTGCACAGCAAGTTCATCAAGGTTCATAACGAGGCCACTGGCAAAAGCTCTTGGTGGATGCTGAACCCCGAGGGAGGCAAGAGCGGCAAAGCCCCCCGCCGCCGGGCCGCTTCCATGGATAGCAGCAGCAAGCTGCTCCGGGGCCGCAGTAAAGCCTCCAAGAAGAAAGCACCCGTGCTGCCAGCTCCACCTGAAGGTGCCACTCCAGCGAGCCCTGCTGGCCACTTTGCCAAGTGGTCAGGCAGCCCTTGCTCTCGAAACCGTGAGGAAGCCGATATGTGGACCGCCTTCCGTCCACGAAGCAGTTCAAATGCCAGCACTGTCAGCACCCGGCTGTCCCCCTTGAGGCCAGAGTCTGAGGTGCTGGCAGAGGAAATACCAGCTTCAGTCAGCAGCTATGCAGGGAGTGTCCCTCCCACCCTCAATGAAGGTCTAGAGCTGTTAGATGGGCTCAATCTCACCTCTTCCCATTCCCTGCTCTCTCGGAGTGGTCTCTCTGGCTTCTCTTTGCAGCATCCTGGGGTTACCGGGCCCTTACACACCTACAGCAGCTCCCTCTTCAGCCCAGCAGAGGGGTCCCTGTCAGCAGGAGAAGGGTGCTTCTCCAGCTCCCAGGCTCTGGAGGCCCTGCTCACCTCTGATACACCACCACCCCCTGCTGATGTCCTCATGACCCAGGTAGATCCCATTCTGTCCCAGGCTCCAACACTTCTGTTGCTGGGGGGGCTTCCTTCCTCCAGTAAGATGGCCACGGGCGTTGGCCTGTGTCCCAAGCCCCTAGAGGCTCCAGGCCCCAGCAGTCTGGCTCCCAACCTTTCTATGATAGCACCGCCTCCAGTCATGGCAAGTGCCCCTATCCCCAAGGCTCTGGGGACTCCTGTGCTCACACCCTCTACTGAAGCTGCAAGCCCAGACAGAATGCCTCAGGATCTAGATCTTGACATGTATATGGAGAACCTGGAGTGTGACATGGATAACATCATCAGTGACCTCATGGATGGGGGCGAGGGACTGGACTTCAACTTTGAGCCAGGTACAGTACCCCCTAATCACCACAGCACCTCATAGCCTATGTCCACTCCTAGGTGCCCAGCTAGTCCCCTCATCTGGGTGAAAGGGAGATTTAGGACAAGTGGTAGCCAGAGCTCCTAGGGAACTGGAGGGAGGATGTCATATTAGAGTAGCATAGTTTCCGGATGGGACCTCCAGGCCCCTCAGCTGTGCCCATCCCTGTAAGGTAGCACAGAAAAGTGTGTGTGGAAGCAGGGGAGGTGCCACCATCTTCTTTGGTGGGCATCTGGATGGTAGAAAGTTAGCAGGTCCCAGATGAGCCTCTTAACTTGTTCTCTGTTTCTTTTTCCCACAGATCCCTGAGTCATGGCTGGAAGCTTTGTCCCCTGCTTCAGAGGTGGAGCCAGGCGTGTCCATATCCATTCTATACCCTTGAGCCCTCCCCAGGAATTTGGGACCCTGCTTTAGAGCTAGGATGGGGTCTGGTCACACGCAGGTGCTGAGGAAATTATAAAGATAAAACTGCCCCATCTGGGGATGATGTGGGGAGGGAGATGGGAGGGGAAAGGGGAGAGGGTTTTTCTCACTGTGCCAATTAGGGGGTAAGGCCCCCTCTCAGGAGCTATCCTCAGCTGTTCCCCCTAGGCTTTCTAGTGAGATGATCAATGCTATTGGAAATGTGAAGTCACCAGTGGCCTTACCCCTGCCTTTGGGAGCAGGATTTTTTGTAGAGAGTCTTATCTGAGCTGAGCCAGGCTAGCTGGAGCCTGGGATTTCTATGCAGTGGCTCCTTAGGCCAGTGGTGTGGGGTGGGTGGGGGGTTTAGAGGATCTGGAAGGGCTAAGATCTGAGCACTGGAGTGGCTCACCAGGCCAAATCACCCTTAGAAGGCTGCAGATAACAGAAAGGCTTTTTATAAACTTTTAAAGAAATATGAAAACAAATATAAAGATTTTTTTTAACCGTGGCAGGGTGCTAGCAGTGGGCAGAATGCTTTTTTTCTTTCTGAAGGCTTTGTGATAGTGACATGATACACTACAGATAGTAAATACTAGGAGAGCACAGGGAAGTGGGGGAGAGGTGGGGAGTAATCATGAGCACAGGGAAGAGCTCCCAGTTGGACCAGGTATAGAGAAAGGTCTATGCAGAAATAGGTTGGAGTTTCCCTAAGAAAAAAGCTAAGCCAGCTCCCCTCATTCCTTCAACTTGTGCCTGGGAGTGTGTGGTGTTGGGGGTGCAGCTACACTCTTCTATGATCCAGCATGGGTTAGTACTACGGTGGGAGAGCACACTGAAGGCCTGGAATTAGCTTGGGGCCAGGGAAGGGAATGGGAGGGGAGAGAAGAGAAGAAGGGAAGGATTTAGGATGGCAAAGTTAGGTACAGAGACCTCCCTGTTCTGGGCCCCTGACAGCTGTCCCTGCCCTTCTTCCCCTTCCCTGACGGCAGGGGTTATGTGGAAGTGTGTGGCGGCAGGCAGCGGGAGGGGAGAAACAGGGAAGGGAAGGGGGGGAGCTTGGCTGAGGGTCTGGGAAATGAGCAGGGATAGTGGGCAATGTGGATCAGGTTTACTAGCACCTGCCAGTGAGGCCATCTGGGGCTCCTTCTCCACCCCAGCCCCCAAAGCAGCCCTTCCCCCAGTACCCTTTGCATCATCCCCTCCCCCACCCCTGCTGTGGGTTCCCATCATTTCCTGTGTCAGTGCCTGGCCTACCCAGATTGTATCATGTGCTAGATTGGAGTGGGGAAGTGTGTCAAATCAATAAATGAATAAATTCAATAAATGCCTATAACCAGCTCTTGTTTCTGCTGTCTTGCCGCTCCCCTTGAATAAGGGAGAGGGAGGGGGAAAGGCAAAGGGCTGGAGGAAGAAACTGCCCAGAGGCAGAGACGTGGAGGGTGGGGGAATTTCAGCCCAGGGAAGTGGTGGAGTGTGGGGGGGGAGGGACACCTAACCCCTGCAGGAGTAGGCGGACTGTGAGATAGGCCTCCCTAGGGGAGGTAGTCTGGTTTGAGAAGACCCCACCCCCTACTCCTTCCCTCAAAGGCTCATTGTACTAGACTTCACAGCCTTCCTCACCCCCACCCATGTGCTTGCCCCAGCCCTCTCCTGCCATTCCCATCCACCCTCAGAGCCTCCTCAGTGCCTGGGGCTTACGTACTCAAGCCTTAGTGCAGATATTGGGAGAAGTATTTCTAGAAACAGAAATTTCACACTAAATTCCAGTAATTTTACACCTTGTATTACTTCTTTTGCTTGGTGAGTTTAGTGGGTGGACGACGTTTATCCTTCCTGAAATCTACTTTGCTCTTAGAAGCCAGAGACTTGCGAGTGGACTTCTTTTCATCTCGTCCTGATAGCTTGGACTAGAAAAAGAAAGTAAGTAAACAAATAGGCCCCTGTAGCGAAAGTTTCTACAACCCAGGGCCAAAGGAAGGAAAAAAGAAATTGGAGGCAGGAAATTCATCTCAGAGGGCTGGGATGGAGGAACATTTGGTTGGCGGTGGGGAGAGCAGGGTGCTAGGGCAGACCACATTTGGTGAGTCTTACCGGGACAATTGCAGAGGGTTCAATTGTAACGACCTTCTTGGCTTCTAGCAGTCTAAGCCTCTCAAGTCGGCTCCTCTCCAGGGCGTCACATTGTGCGCGCAGTGCAACTAAAAACAAGGAAAAGGCACCTGCACCTCTGAGAACTAGAGACCTTACCCTTTCTGATGCTCCCATCCATTGTTCGTATCATCAGCTGGAGACCCACCTGGCCTAAGATGGAAATGATGGGATAGTGATAGGAAGATATGCAGAGAAGATGGCCAAGAAATAGAGAAAGCAGAGCTGGGCGCGGTGCCTCACGCCTGTAATCCCAGCACTTTGGGAGGCCAAGGCGGGTGAATCACCTGAGGTCAGGTGTTCCAGATCAGCCTGACCAGCATGGAGAAACCCCATCTCTACTAAAAATACAAAATTATCTGGGAGTGGTGGCGGGCACCTGTAGTCCCAGCCACTCCAGAGGCTGAGGCAGGAGAATCACTTGAACCCAGGAGGTGGAGGTTGCAGTGCACTCCAGCCTGGGCAACAAGAGCAAAACCCTGTCTCAATTAAAAAAAGAAGAAGAAGAAATGGGAGAAGCAGGGAGTAACACACGCACATTACGCCTGGTGTGAGCTAAACATCCCTCCTAACATGGACCTGGACCCTGCCCCCCTTTTCCTAGGCTCCTATCATCTGACCTACCATATCACATTAGTCCCACCTTACATTCTCCATCACACAGCTATATACTGTACCTTTCGTATTCTTCCCTCCCCCATCTCGCTTCTTACCAAGCAGCAGAGGCTCCGGATTCTTGAGGAGAGGCACAAAACCTTTGTAAGCAGCCTCCATCCTGGTTCCTGTGAATATAGCCGTGTATGAATATAGCCATGTGCTATCTCCAGCCCTTGTCATCCAGTCTTCACCCTCCTGAAGCCCAAGATTCCAGGACCCAACACTAAAGACTACCTGCTGGGTGTGGTGGTTTACGCCAGTAATCCCAGCATTTTGGGAGGCCAAGGTGGGCAGATTACTTGAGGTCAGGAGTTTGAGACCAGCCTGGCCAACATGGTAAAACCCCATCTCTACCAAAAATACAAAAAAAAGAAAAAATTATCCGGGCATGGTGGTGGGTGCCTGTAATCCCAGCTCCTCGGGAGGCTGAGGCAGGAGAATTGCTTGAATCCAGGAGGCAGAGGTTGCAGTGAGCCAAGATCAAACCACTGCACTTCAGCCTGGGCAACAGAGAGAGATTCCATCATAAATAAATTAAGTAAATAAATAGACTACTTTGCCAGGCACAGTGGCTCATGCCTGTAATCCCAGCACTTTGGAAGGCCGAGGTGGGTGGATCCCCTGCGGTCAGGAGTTCAAGACCAGCCTGGCCAACATGGTGAAACCCCGTCTCAACTAAAAATACAAAAAATTAGTAGAGCGTGGTGGCGCGCGCCTGTAGTCCCAGCTACTCGGGAGGCTGAGGCAGGAGAATCACTTGAACCTGGGAGGCAGAGGTTGCAGTGAGCCAAGATTGCACCATTGCACTCCAGCCTGGGCGACAAGAGCAAAACTTCTTCTCAAAAAAAAAAAAATAAATAAAATAAAATAAAATAAAAACTACCTTGAGCTGGTGGATCTTATTTCTTCCCCTTAGGTATGGACCTAGGGAAGCGTATGTGTGAGCCTAATCTATTGTTACAGAGGCAGTGCCCTTCCTTAGGCTGACTAGAGATGGTCAGTTTGGATCTGGTTGAGGGTGTTCCTTTTTTGTTTTAATTTGGTTTTGGTTGTTTTTGGTTTTGTTTTTGTTTTGGAGGCAGGGTCTCATTATGTTGCCCAGGCTGGTCTCAAACTCCTGCCCTCTATCGATCCTCACACCTTGGCCTCTCAAAGTGCTGAGATTACAGGCATGAGTCACTGTGCCCAGCCTTGGATGCCCTGTTTTAAAGATAAGGTTTATAATCTATCTTGAAGGCCTTGTTCTATTTCTGGGGAGCACTCCCAAGACTCTACCTGGTGGCCCACGCTCCACCTTACAAACATAGTAGGTGCTTCGAGCTGTAAGGTATTTGCTGCCATAGTCTGTATGGTTGGGCTTCATCTGGAAAAGCATCTTCATCGTCCCTGCTTCATCACACAAATCGATGGAGCCTGGAGGGAGACCACAGGGTAATTGGGGCAGCTAAGGAAAGAGAGTGGGAGTAAAAGGGGCCAGTGATCCTATACAGAATGGTTTGGAGGAAGCTGTAAGGATATGAGGAACTCCCTTCTTGCCAGGAGGAGGGCTTGGGGATTAGAGACAACCCAGCTACTTCTGACCTTTGGCCATTAGTCTTCTCCCCAATCTCCTCACTTGTTTTAGGCAACTGTAGTTTTTTGCGGATGTAGTACAGCATCACGGTGACAGAGCAGTTGGTATTGACCAGAAACTGCTGATTATCTGAGAAGAGATGGAATGGGACACGTGGGCCCATTTCTGTGATCTCCACTGCCCTCAGATCCCTCCACCCCCATCCACAGACTCTAGTTCTGTGTGGCCCCTCACCTCCATGTTTGATGTAGATGAACATGCCCTCAAGATCGCCTCACTGATGAGTCATGCAGAAGGATGGTGTTCTAGAGGCCTTGTGTGGGGCAAATAGGCCTATAGGATTGGTGGACTGGAGAGGCAGATGGATTTCATAGGCTGAGGATGCCCAGGCTGGGCAGCCAGGAGAGAGCTGTTGGTAGTTGTGGATAACCAGCATCCCCAGGGGTGGGGCCTGAGGCTGCAGTTGAGGGATTATGAGGTCAGAAGTGGCAGGTGTGGCCAAAAAGTAGAGTAAGGATAAGGAGAGAAAAACTTGGGTGGGGTATGTAAAATATTAGTTGGAAAGTGGGCGAAACATGGTAAATATGGTAAGTCTAACTCTTTTTTTTTGTTTGTTTTTTTCAGACAGAGTCTCCCTCTGTCACTCAGGCTGGAGTGCAGTGGCTCAATCTTGGCTCACTGCAACCTCTGCCTCCTAGGTTCAAGCGATTCTCCTGCCTCAGCCTCCCATGTAGCTGGGATTATAGGCACACACCACCACTCCCAGCTAATTTTTGTATTTTTAGTAGAAACAGGGTTTCACCATGTTGGCCAGGCTGGTCTCGATCTCCTGACCTCATTATCCACCTGCCTCAGCCTCCCAAAGTGCTGGGATTATAGCATGAGCCGCCTCACCCAGTGCATTGTAAGTCTAACTCTAAACCCTGGAATGAGTGCAGGACACCTGGAAAAAAGTCAGTTTCCAGAATGGTACTCTTTTTCTAGCAAATTGGTAACACTCCTGCTTCCACAGCATGAATGTACTACTTCTATTTATTCCCCTCCCACCCTCATTGCATCCCATGTTTCCCTGCTCCCCACCCCCATGACAGACATTTTTGACGATTATCAACAGAAACTTTATTTCTCATTGGTTCAAGAACAATCGGAGGGTAGATGGAAAGAGGAAGGGAGGGAAAGAGGGAGGGAGGAAGAATCCTGCAAAAAGGAAGGGTCAGACTGGGGGAGATGAAAAACATGTACAGGGCAAAAGGACAATTCTCAAGTGGGGGATACCAAATGCGGGGGCGCTTACATGGGGGCACAAAATTCCAAATCAGCCACAGGGAGGCGAGATGAGCATGGGACGCAGATGGGTTAAATGAACGGAAGTTAGTTCCACTTAGGGCTACAGGACCCTGGGGTTCTTCTGTCAGAGGATTGGGGTTCAGGTTTCAGGCTTCAGGGTGTAACTTGGTGGGGCCCAGTAGGGGCTATGCTGGTTGCATGGGGAGGCCCCAGCTCCCTCCCCTAGAGCCCCTCCTTTTGGGGGAATCTCACTGACGAGGCAGAGTCGTTCACTGTAGTCTGGCTGCAGACTCTCAGCCAGTCCCTTAGACACACCACTCCAGGCCTAAAGACAGATATGTCCAGGTCAGGGGTCAATTAGGGGCAGGAAATAAAAGACCAAGCTCTGTGCCAAAGGAGTGCTTGTGATGTCTGCAACCACTGTAATTGATTACAGAAGGGAAACACAGACTCCTGGGCCCCTAGTACTCCTGTTTCCATCTGCCTCACTCAATCTATAATCTGCACTTCAGCGTGTGTCTCTCTCTGTATAGTGTGTATAGAGAGACAGTGTGTGTCTCTCCCCCATTTGGTCGGCCACATCCTGACAGTTAGTGCAGGGCCTCCTTCCTTCTTCTCTCTGCCCCCACCCCCACACTTTGTCTGTCTTGCTGGCAGGCAGTTGGCAGTTGATAGACTGCAGCATGCTTATGACGGCGTTCTTACCGAAAAGTTCCCGTGGTATTCAGTAACAAGATCTTCTAGGTTCTTCAGGGTGGGAATTCGGGGCATTGTCCTGACAGAGGAGAAAGAGGGAGCAGGAGCACATAGGTTAAAGCTCTTTTATCACCCTTCTCCCAGTTGTCCCATATGAAATAAAGTGATCCTGTGTTCTCTGTGCCTGTGGCTTCCTTCCATCACCAAACCCTCTTGGCTAATCTCTCATTTCTTACTGTCCTGTCCTTTACTCCTAGAGACCCTGCAAAACCCTCCTCTGCTATTCTCAGCCACCGCCTCCCTCATTTTTCTGGGCTTCTCCAAATCTCACCGTTCCAGCCAGAAATACACACAGAGAAGGCTGATAATCAATCCCATGGAGCCAACAGAGATAACCACAGCTTCCAATGCAAACAGGAAAGGATTCTCTATAGAAACAAGAAAAGCAAAGTGGACCTTATATTTGTTGTGCCCGTACTACATGCCAACCTTTGTGGAGCCCCAACTTGGTGCCAGGCACTGCTCTAAAGACATACTCTCTGTTTAATCCTCACAACAGCTCCTGTGAGGCAGGAACACTTATTATCTCCATCTCACATCTCAGGAAACAGAATCAAAGAGTTTAGTGATGTGCCCAAGGCCAAAGAGGTAGTATGCGGCGGAGTCTAGATCCAGCTGGTTCCAAAGCCATCTTCAACCTTGCAGGCTCTCTAGGAATGCTTCAGGGAAATCCTATACATTCTATAGCCCCCTTGAATACCCCTCAGCCTCCTTCTCATACCACCCCCTACTCTAACAACACACTAACCCAACTCTACACAGAAAAACCTTAATTTCTAGAGGTTGGGGTTGGACAGTGTGGGGACATGAGGCACCAAGTTTGGGGGCTTTAATGATAGGGAAGTGGAGCAAAAGACAGTGGTGTTAGAAAGGCTGGGGTGTTGGGCTTATGGATCGGGGTCATGTGGGCCCCATTTTACCCTTTGAAGTGTTGCTACCCCAGTGGATCAGGTGGCTCCATTCACTCCAATGCTGAGTACTTCCACAGAGTGGGTTAAAGCGGCTCCGAACACGAAACGTGTAGCGTTTCTGCCCATCCACACTAGGCAGGGAGAAGCTATGACTGTGACCTACTGATTGTTCCTTGAGGAGAAAGAGGATAAGGGAAAGTGGGTGTCTATGAAAGAAGAGAGAATTAAAATATACGCCTGAACACCCACCAGTATCATCTCTGCTACTTCCCAGTTTCTCTCTTCTCTCTTGACTACTCAAGCCACATTGCTCCCTTCACTGACTTGAATCTAAAGCCTCCCCTCCAGATCCCCTTAATGGCTTCCTTTTGTTTACTTGTCTATCTGGTATCAGGAAGAGTATGGGTAGGGAATCCCTAATGAAAACTCATTGGTATCAGGTACGGTGGCTCACGCCTGTAATCCCAGCACTTTGGGAGGCCGAGGCGGGCAGATCACCTGAGGTCAGGAGTTCGAGACCAGCCTGGCCAATATGGCAAAACACAGTCTCTACTAAAAATACAAAAATTAGCCAGCTGTGGTGGTACATGCTCATAGCCCCAGCTACTCGGGAGGCTGAAGGAGGAGAATCACTTGAACCCGGTAGGCAGAGGTTGCAGTGAGCCGAGATCGCACCACTGCACTCCAGACTGGGCAACAGAGTGAGGCTCCGTCTCAAAAAAAAAAAAAAAGAAAGAAAGAAAGAAAACTCACTGGTGATGATAGGGAAAGGAGTTGGAGGAGGGAGGGTAAGGGGTAAGCAGAGGAGCTGTGAGGCAGAGAACAGGAGCTTGATAATTAGGTCCTCCTATCTGGCTGGTTGAATCCTTCAGCCCTACTTGCTTGGCCTTAGCTGCTACATTCACATCCCTAATCACTCACAGTCCAGCTGTGGTCCCAGTCAGTCCGGTACTGCACCAAGTGCTCCAAACAGTGGTTCAAGAATCTGTTGTTCCAGTTCAGTTCTAGCTGGGATTCACTCAGTTTGCGAAGTGTTAGGTTCTCTGGAGCCCAGGGGATCACTGGAGATATGTGTGCGTATATGGTCATTCCCCTGCCCTAGACAAGTCAGGATGCTGAAGGTAGTGCCTCTAATACCTCCTCCCTTTCCATCCCGATCCCCTACCTCCACTTTTCTGCCCACATACTCTTATTTTTTTCTTTTTATTTATTTATTTATTTATTTTGAGATGAAGTCTCGATCTGTAGCACAGGCTGTAGTGCAGTGTCGTGACCTCGGCTCACTGCAACCTCTGCCTCCTGGGTCCCAGTTCAATCAATTCTCCTACCTCAGCCTCCCAAGTAGCTGGGATGACAGGCACAAGCCACCACGTCCAGCTAATTTTTGTATTTTTTGGTAGAGACAGGGTTTCACCATGTTGGCCAGTCTGGCCTTGAACTCTTGTCCTCGCGATCTGCCTGCCTCGGCCTCCCAAAGTGCTGGGATTACAGGCGTGAGCCACCGCACCCGGCCCCCTGTATCCCTATGATAAAAGAACACTACTCCATAGACTCCAATGCCCCACAGTAGCCCTGGTCTGTTGACCCTTTCCAAATTACCCAGATTCTGCAGTTTTAGCATCTGTGTGGCCTGTCTCCTGGGTTCCCGTGGGTCCTGGAGCTGAACAACAAATGTTTGGTAGAGGTGGATCTCCTTTTTTTGCAGCTGACAGCCAGAAGTGATTTCTTCAGCAAATAGATAGTGGCTGCACTTCTGGACTTTATCATCATCCGAGTTCTTGTACCTAGAGGAGAAGGGTTGGAAGGAAGAGGAACACTGGGGCCAATCTGGGTACTTCAGATATCCAGAGCCCAGCCTCATCTCCCCTCAACTGACTTATGACTTACCCAGGAGAAAACAGTGGGGCACCTGGGAGACTTGCTACCCTCTTTCTTGGTCTCTGATCCAACCCACCTCTTGTTCCTCCCCTCCCCCCTTTTCCCTTCTCATACCAATAGTGCAGAGTAAGGTTGGTAGGCTGGGGCTCAGAGCTGCTGTTCCAAGTGCAATTCATGTACTCGACATTGAACACAAAACACTGAACTTCTGGGAGGGGCAGAGTGGAAACACTGAAGGAGTCAGTGGGCATAGAGGTCAGGAAGAAATCTAGATTGGGGAGAAAATGAAGGCAGGGAGGGAAAGAGAAGAAATGATGGTCAGAAGGAGGCTGAGCATGGTGGCTCATGTCTGTAATCCTGGTGCTTTGAAAGGCCGAGGCAGGAGGATCACTAGAGGCCAGGAGTTTGAGACCAGCCTGGGCAACGTAGTGAGACCCTGCCTCAAAAAAAAAAAAAAAAAAAAAAAGAAACGAAAAACAAAGAAGAAGTAGCATGAGGCAGGGAATCCTCCCCCTTTCCGTTCCCACTCTACTTTTAAATTCTGCCCACATGATTGTAATGGCCAGTGGCAGTTTCCAGATTTCTGTACGGCCCCTTCCCACAGCCACCCTTCTCACCAACCCTCTCCAGTCCCAGATTTCCCACCAGCTGTGGTGTCTTCATTCCCATTGGGTGTCAGAATCGTCGTGTTAAGCCCCACTCCTAGCAGGGGCAGCTGCAGGAATAAGAGAGATATGAATGGTAATAATGGCTTCAACATGGCGCTTGCTCTTCATTCCCTGGGTGTCGTCTGTCTGTGTCAGG